GAGGTACTGTTTACACGCCACTGTCCAACTCAAGACTTGTGTCAAGAATAACAGTAGAAGAAGGAGAATCCAACAGGTCCTCAGCTGCCACACAGCGTCACCCAGCAATCACTCTAGACCTGCAAGTTAGGAGGATTCGTCCTGGAGAAACTCGAGATAGGGATAGCATTGCAAATAGAACTCGATCTAGGGCAGGGCTGTCAGAAAGTACAGTTGAAAGCAACAGCGGGGGCTTTCACAGAACTATTTCTCATTTAGAACGGTCAGGTGTCCGAACCTATGTGAGTACCATAACAGTTCCTCTTCGTAGGATTTCTGAGAATGAGGTGGTTGAACCATCCTCTGTGGCTCTTCGGTCAATTTTAAGGCAGATCATGACTGGGTTTGGAGAACTGAGTTCTCTAACAGAGGTGGAGCCTGAGTCTGAGAATCAAAGAAATGGTCAGCGTTTACCAGAGCTGTACCTAGAACTGAATAACGTAGATGTGGCTGACAACAGCAGTCAGCTGGGTAGAGGTTCCTCACAAGCCAGACAGGCCCAAGAAGACAGTGCTGAAATGCTAGATGTAAGTGAGCCCACCCGGCCACAGGCCCACAATGGTAGCAGTAGGAATAGAAGGCAGTTAGAGAGGGCAGACAGTGTAGTTGAGGCTGGAACATTACCCATTCTGCGCCTTGCTCATTTCTTCTTACTGAATGAAGGCGATGATGATCCAGTTCGTGGTTTAACCAAAGAGCAGATTGACAATCTTTCTACCAGGAGCTATGAACAAACTGGGGTTGACAGTGAGTTAGGTAAAGTGTGTAGTGTGTGCATCAGTGACTATGTGGCTGGGAACAAGCTCCGGCAGCTGCCGTGTCTGCATGAGTTTCACATTCATTGTATTGATCGCTGGTTGTCAGAGAACTGCACCTGTCCTGTCTGCCGGCGGCCTGTCTTAGAATTTGGGGCCGCAAACAATGGATGAAATGATGGGATCTGCTCAGTGCTGTATGTTACTGGAGCCTCATAGTCAAACACTTCTTGAGTTACTTATGATGAGGTAATCAAGATGAAAAACCTATCAAATTATAGTTTGCACTATTTTTGTGTGCTTTTTTTTTTAAAAAAACTTGTTACAAAGAGGTTGTTTATATAAAATTTAAATATGCAGATGTTAAATTATCCAAAAGTAAAGAATAGTTAATATTGCTAGAACCAAATAACCTTCAAAATGTTTTTATTTTGGTAATTTTGTCATGCTAAGCACTTTTGTATCTGCACAACTCAGTATGTTAGAACTCATGATTCTTTCTCTTAATACTGCAGTAAGTATGGCTGGGATTTTCCAGTTGTAGCTCAGTGCTATGTTTGGACACTACTGTCTAAGTCTTTGTAGACTGTTTGCTGAATGTCTGCTAGATATACTTAAGTTACTTGAAATAGTTTAACACGTAGCACACTGTATGTGTGTATGCAGATATGTAACTATGGTGAACATATCCATGCTAAAAACTACAAGTTTGAGACTTAAGCTTTGGGGCTTAGACTGCATATGACACAGGGTTAACAGTGACAAGATCATCTCTAAAAGGAAGTGAATTAAGATACAGGTTAAAATAGAGATTGTTTACTGAAGCGTGTCTGACAATCTGACTTACTAGAGAGTGAGTGATATATAATAATGAGCCTAGTATTTCTTTATTCATAAATGGAATGTGGAAAATTTTATGTTGAATAGTTTAAGTTCGTTTTTTTGTGGCTTTTTCAGAAGTACAAACACTTCTCGGGGTTAGGGTTTACAGCATGCTTGATTTCTCAAATTTAGTTTTAAAATCTAAAATATTTTAAATTCTATTAAATAGTGAAATGCATAGAAAATATGTTAATTTGGATGCCAAAAAGCTCCAAAAAATAAAAGCCTTCAAAAGAACGTAGAGTTTATATAAACAGAAAGTATGCATTAAAAGTCTATTTCTACCAGTAAACCCGACAAACTGTGTGTGGACTCATTTCTCTCTGTTGTTCCACTGTGGCTGTTCACCTCCAAATACTTAATTCCACACTGGGTGGCAAGTGCAGTGACAGGTGCTGAGAATTTACTAGGTGACAGACAGACCAAGTCTCTGTCTTCATGGAAAAGACATTTGCTCTTAGAAGGAACAAATCAATATTTACTTTGATGTTTGCTCATGAATATATGACACAGGTGTCTTTCATGTGTGGGTGGTACCACTTTGGCAGACTATAAGAAAATACTTCATGTCAAGTCCTGAGAGGTTTAGAAATACCTCCATGTTTAACTTTTCTTATCAGTTAGTGATTATGTTCAATTCGTAAGGTTAGTTGGACACCCAGAAATAACACAGAGTGCATTCACCAAAGTGAAAAATTTTTGTAAAACTTAGGACTTTGGGGTATTTTGTGGGTTTATAGGGCATGAGTCAAAGAAGGTTTGAAGGTCTATGTATCAGTAATTAAGAGATTTTTATTTCATTTTGTAGCTGTTGTATGACAACATATAATTATCCCTTGATGATTTTAGTGACAAGTGTCAGGGTAGTTTTTTTTAAAAGATTCATTTATTTATTATGTATACAACATTCTCCCTCCATGTATGCCCACATGCCAGAGGAGGGTGCCAGATCTCATTACAGATGGTTGTGAGCCACCATGTGGTTGCTGGGAATTGAACTCAGGACCTCTGGAAGAGCAGCCAGTGCTCTTAACCACTGAGCCATCTCTCCAGCCCCAAAGGGTAGTTTTTCTTGATTAAAGATTACTTTGGAGAGATTAAAGGGTTGGAAAGATGGCTCAGTGGTTATTGCTACAACTCTATAGAGTTTCAAGGTGCTTGCCACCACCAAGAAGCATGCTGTTGGCTATTCATAAACACCATGTAAGTGTTTGGTGGCAGGGCCTCTTAAAAGAGCTGCAAGATTTTTGCAGCTAAAGCTGAATCAGAAAGCATCTCTTAAAACAAGACATGTTTGCCTCTAGCAAACTACCAAACAAGAGTCCACTTGAGAAAATGCTGCTACCAAGAAGCCATGCTTAACTCTGTTCCTTTGTGTCTAGAATTCCTTCCCAAACTCTCTCAGGTTTTATGTGGATATAGTTGTCCAATCCTCTGTCAACACTCTATCCCGGTTAGCTGGAAAAATTATGAGAATAAATAAAGAAAAGGTAGTGGTAAAAAGAAAGAAAACTGATATTTGTTGGACTTAGTTTCTGTTGTTTTTGAAACAAGGTCTCCCTCTGTAGCTTACACTGACTTTGTTCTCATAGTCCACCTCTATCAGCTTCGCAAGTGCCTCGATTGTTGACATACCCCACGATACCCAACTTAAGTCTCCTGCAAGATGTGATGGCTTTAACAGCATTAGAAGGGGTTTCAGCTAGGCAGTTGAAACACAGTGTGCTGGGTACTGTCTGGGAGATTCCCTGGAAGTCATCGTGTGACTGAATGTTTCTGACATATTGGTATTGCAGTGGAGAACAAAGAAGGGTTTTCTGTAATACTATCATTCATTTTCCAGTAAACAAAGCTGGCATATCCAAAGGCTATATAACTATGGATAATTTCTATTTAGTGATATTGTGTGTCTTGTGGGTCTAATACAAGAAGAAACTAATGGTTGACTGTGTCGTTTGAACGGTGTGATCTGCAGTAGGTCTGGAGAGATGGGACTCTACACTAGACTGCAGCTATCTTGAAGACTTATATTTTGAGATTTGCAGCTTCCTGGCTGCTCTAACATAGATTTACATCCTTTTAGTATTTTTTTGTTTCTTTGAATTTTTCTAGTATCATCTAGTATTGTTACGACTACTCTTTTTGTTACTCTCCTGTCAATATTGTGGTAGTGTGAATGACAGTGGGCCCCATAGACTAAGGTATTTGAATGCTTGGTTCCCTGTTGGTGGACTGTTGGGAAGGATTAGGTGTGGTCTTATGGAAGTGGATATGGCCTTGTTGGAGGAGGTGTGGCACTGAAGGTGGACTTTGAGGTTTCAAAAGTTCACACCAGGCCTCCCCCCCCCCACCCCCTTGCTTGCTGCCTGTGGATCAGGATGTAGCTCTCAGCTTCTCCAGCGCCATGTCTGCCTGCATGCCACCATGCTCCCTGAGATTATATGATCTAAGCTTCTGAAATTTAAGATCCTAGCCCTTTCAAGGCAGAGGCAGGTGAGTCTCTGAGTGAAAGGCCAGCCTGATCTACAGAGAGAGTTCTCAATAATGGATGCTTTCTTTACCCATCTTTGGTTTTCTGCATCCTACTTGTTGACTGTGTAAAGACACCTCTTGGTGACTCCCAGCGAGGCAGGCAACACTGCTTTCCTTGTAAGCACCCTCTCTGCACTACTGGATCTCACTTGAAGTTACCATAACTTGCTCTACCACTGTAGTACGTAGACACCTTCATGTGCCCCATGCAGTGGTTTTAGACTGAATGACTCAGGAAGGAATGGAAGGTTGAAAACTATAATGGAGGAACCCAGTGAAGCTTCTGATACCGGGTAAGACTGGGACACGAGTTTTTGTTGCCCAATCCATTGACCACTTTATGTTCACTGTTGTAGGACAACAACTCAAGATGGATTCCAAAAGGAAAACATGATCTCTGCCTTCATAAACATCGGGTAGAAATAAGTCAAAACTAGTGAGAAAAACTTCACCCCATTTTAACTTTTTTTTTTTTAATTTTATGTGCTTTAATGTTTTACCTGCATGTATGTCTATTTGAGGGCATCAGATCCCGTGGAACTGGAGTTACAGATAGTTGGGAGCTGCCACGTGGGTGCCACTAGGTCCCCCTGGAAGAGCAGTCAATGCTCTTAACTATGGAGCCACTTCTCTAGCCCTCCCCATTTTAGTTATATTTAAAAATCTTGAAAATTAATAAACTGTAAATAAAATTTCCAAGCATTGTGCTAGATCAAAGTGAGTATCACAAAGCTCTGATAAGTCAAATGGAGACCAAACTGGATCCAAGCAAGGAGTGACCATGATCAGAAATGCTGTTTCTCAGTTTTATGAACTCTGTTTTATTGCCCCATTGATGCACAGGAAGACATCACATATTTTTGGAAAGATGATTTCTATTTGTAATATAAAATATTATGAACATTTGAAACAGATTTATTTCAAGAATCACCACAGTACTTCCCATTTCATTAAAAATGATTGGTAAGATTATAGAGAAATGCTTATTACACTCAGAATGTAGATAGCAAACTGGAGTTCAGAGGGGATGGTCCCCTTAGAATCGGAGAAAAATCTCCGTATCTCTCATTGACTTAATCATTTCCTTTAAGTCACACAATATATGATACTCAGCACAAACACTGAGCATATTCAATGAACTTCTGAACACCTAATCATCAAGGAAATTAAGCTGATTCATTCACAGGCAAATTAGATTCTCTGATGTTGGGTGGCACAGCCCCCTTGAAGAACAGCAGAAATCTTGAGGGAAATTCATGCTCCATTTGTGATTCTTATCTTGACACAACTTTCAGGATGATGGGTTTTTCTGGTTGAAAAAGTGTTTTCTTGCTTAATTTCAGGGGTATCTGTGGTGGTTGAAGAAGCACATTGAGAAGCAGTGAATGAGCCAGGAATCACAGAGCAAAACAGAACACATTCAGGACAGTAGTATTTTATATACGCAAAACACCTGTGTCTTCATATGTCGTGAATTCTTTATATTTGCATCTCTGTTAGCATTGGGTAGTGACACTAGTCTATCTGTTCCTGCAGTAAAGCCATTTTGGAGTAATTATTGTATAGAGAACCTGCAGGGGAAGAACATGTTGACTTGTGTTCTTCATTGATGCAAATTTAAGTGAAAAGCCTGAGTTTTAAAACTTTAGATGTTATTTTAAGTGTGTGGTGGAAGACTGTTTTTATAGGCAATATGAAGTTAATCTTAGTTTGTGGACACTTAGAAGGCAATCCTGGACAAATGTCAGACATTGTACCTCTATGGGCCCGACTCAACTTCTCAGGCCAGTTGTGCCTGTTCAGTTTAATGGTGGGCAAGAACTTCAGGGAGCATTGAGCCTTGTTTCCTGACATCTCCTCTTAGCCCCCAAGGTAGTATAAATAGTGACCTTCTGAGTCATTCAGTGTTTTCACTAATCATTTTGCCCAGGTCTCTTCAGTATTACGGGAGAAGGGAAGCCACCAACAGAGTAATCTGGTCTTAGTAGAGGGTTTGGAAACCAGGGAATCAAGGAATTTGAAGAATGTCAGCTTCTGGGTGACTGGAGGTTGAAACCTGCCTGCTTTCAAGGTTAAAGTCTTTGTCTGTCCATCTTTCTGAACCACTGTACAGACAGGCTAGCTACCCAGCTGCCCTAGGGGCCAAACGAGGTATTAACTACCTCTCTTCTAATGGCCCACAAAGAAAAGACAACTGATGGGAGGAGCTACATACATGGGCTTAGAAATAGTCTTACCTTTCATTGCTTTATTTGGAACAAAAGACAATTGTGTTAAGTTTGGGGAGGAGGCAACATTTCAACTTGTCTAATGTATTGTTTGGTTTTTTACATTTTGGAGGGGGACAGTTTTGAGACAGGGTTTCTCTGTAATTTTGGAGTCTGTCCTGGAACTAGCTCTTATAGACCAGGTTGGCCTCGAACTCACAGATATCTGCCTGCCTCTGCCTCCCAAGTGCTAGGATTAAAGACGTGCGCCACCACCACCTAGCTATACATTTTTCTTACACTTTTTTAAAATTTTTTTTTAAATATTTTTAAAAAATTTATTATGTATATAATATTCTGTCTGTGTGTATGTCTGCAGGCCAGAAGAGGGCACCAGACCTTATTACAGATGGTTGTGAGCCACCATGTGATTGCTAGGAATTGAACTCAGGACCTCTGGAGGAGCAGCCAGAGTGCTCTTAACCACTGAGACATCTCTGCACCCCCATAGAAGTTCTTTATATACTATAATAGTGCTTGAAATCAGTGTGCACCACAGCCAGTATGGATCTCTTAAATCCCCGCTCTGGGTAAATTATTTCCGTGTATATGAGACAACTAAGCACGGTGAGTTTTTAAAGTTACAAAGTTAAAAGCACAGCCAATGCTGGGAAGCCCCTGACTCCTGGGATCTTAGCTTAGAAGTTCACCATTCCCAAACCACAGCGAGGTTATCATTCCGTGCTATGAGTGTGTGTCTCCAGTTAGTCACACAGTTTAAAACTGGATACGGTTTCAGGGACTGGAGAGATGACTCTACGGTTAAGAGCACTGACTGCTCTTCCAGGGGTCCTGAGTTCAATTCCCAGCAACTGCATGGTGGCTCAGAAGCACCCGTAGTGAGATCTGGTGCCCTCTTCTGACCTGCAAGAACATATGCAGGCAGAACGCTGTATACATAATGAGTAAATAAATCTTAAAAAGAAAAAAAAACAACAAAAAACATTGGACATGATTTCAAAGACACTATACTTAAGTCATTCTGATCTGCATGAACTCTAAATGGTTTCTTTGTGCTTTAGCCAGACAGACTTACAGCTCCAGAATGGAAGGACCTTAAAAGCTCATAGGTCACTTGTTACTCAAATCCTTTATTCTGTACAAGGCATCTGCCTCACCTGTGTTTCTTCACAAGGCTGAAGGGTGAAGTTCTGCAGGACACTGACGACAGCCAGTTTCATGCTGATGAGAGCAAACCTCATGCCAAGGCAGTTCCTGGGTCCGTTCCCAAAGGGCATGTATGCATAAGGATCAATGCTGCCCTTGTTCTCCTTGCTGAACCTGGAGCCACAGTAGGGATGAAAACGAGGCTATGGAACATAAAGACCCCAAGAGCTCTGTGTTTGGAGTCCTCACATCCCTCAATCAGAGCTGAACCCCTGCTGTGGGTGTCTCAGTATAAAATTATGAGTCGGGCTTCTCCAGAGGGCCTAGATTAGATTCCCAGCACAAGTATCTGACACCCTCCTGTAGCCTTCTCAGATACCAGGTACATGTGCAGATATATGCAGGAAAACACCCATACACATAAAAAAATAAAGTTGTTAACTAATGATCTTTCCATGTCCCTTAAAATAGGGGAGCCTTTGGTATTGAACTGAGCTGAGTTGAATGCTTTTAGAGAGGAAGTGTATCTTTAAATACAAAACTCTGTCTGGGATGGGTATATGTCCCCAATCTGAAAGACAAGTCAGAATTAGAGCGAAAAGTATGCTACTACCTCAACCTTCAAGAAGGCAATTTCTAATCAGACAGATAATGGGAAAAGTTGTTAAAGCTGATGGTAAATTTAGGGACCAGCACAGAATACATCAAAAAAGGAACAAGAATCCTACATATGTTAGTTTAGATATCACTTAACACCAACTACTGCCTAGTCACCAAATAAGACCTATCCATCTATCCATCCATCCATCCATCCATCTATCTATCTATCTTATCTATCTGACAAGATGTGGTACATAGGTTAGTGGATCTGGCTTTCCAACCAGATCCCAAATCATAACACAGACTTATTAGTTGAGAATGCTCGGCCTATGCTTGTCCCACTAGCTCTTATAGCTCAATATAACCTGTTTCTCTTCATCTATGTTTTGCCTTGGGACTTTTCACCTTTCTTTCATTCTCTATGTCCTACTTCTCCTGCTTCTTCTATGACTGTTGTCTCCCTCCCTGTTCTCTGTTCTCCCCTCCCCTCCCCCAACCTACATTCCTCCTAGTTATTCTCTCTTCAGGCTAGCACCATCTATCCCTCTACTGCCTAACTATTGGCCATCCAGCTTTTTTATTAGACTAATCAGGGGCTTTAGGCAACACATCTTTACATTATTAAACAAATATAGCATAAACAAATGCAACACACCTTTACATAGTTAAAGTAATATTCTGCAACACAATTGTAAGACATCTTTACATAGTTAAAAGTAATATTCTATAACAGGTTAGTGTTTAGGTGATTAGTGATTCAAAATACAACTAAAATATACTAGCTTTTGCAAACCCTTTACATGCCTACAAATAAATTCTTGAGGACATATTTCACTATTAATGGAATTAATGTTAGCATATTGGGACTCTCAGTGGCCATGAGTACTTTTTGTCTGTTTTTACAACATCAATAATTATCACTTTGTAATTTTCTTTTTTTGTTGTCATTTTGTTTTGTTTCGTTTTTCAAGACAGGGTTTCTCTGAAGCTTTGGAGCCTAGCCTGGAGCTAGCTCTTTTAGACCAGGCTGGCCTCTAACTCACAGAGATCCACCTGCCTCTGCCTCCCGAGTGCTGGGATTAAAGGCGCGTGCCACCACTGCAATGCTTTTTGCTCTGTTTTGTTTTGTTTGTTTGTTTGTTTGTTTTGCTTGTTTTTGTTTTTTGGGACATGCTTTTCTGACTGCCCTGGAACTCTGTAGACCAGGCTGACCATGAACTCACAGAGATCTGCCTGCCTCTGACTCCTAAATTCTGGGATTAAAGGCATGCACCACCATGCCAAGCTCACATTGTAATGTTAAAAGGTCTGATTCCCAAAAGACAGAAAGATACAAAGGGATATAAAATCACATATATGCCATTTCTAGTAAACAACATGATAATACGTTTAGTTCGCCTGGTTCCTAGTGGGGACCCCTCCCTGAGGTCTCTGTACCTTTCAGGGCGGAACTCCTCAGGCTCTGGCCAGTACTCAGGATCCCGATGAAGAGGATAGGTTGGTACCATAACTACAGTCCCTTTGGGAATGAACACTCCATTGATTTCCACATCCTTCTTAGAGATCCTGTCTAGCCTGTTAGCAGCCGGGTACAATCTGAGAGTTTCATTCACTACCATGTCCAGGTATTCCATGTCCATAAGGGCATCATAGGTGACAGGTGCCTGGGAAGAGGAAACATGTTTGCAGATGAGGTTTGGACTCACTCTTCAACTCAGTTGAGTTGGATTACACATCCAAGAGCTAACCTCAATTAGCTTAGCCTTAATAAATCATTTTGCACCTATGATGACCTTTGTCCTGATTATGGCCCATTAGGATGTAAAGTATAATTTCTAGTATAGGAGCCATTTGGAACACTCCCTTGTCCAGATCCCCTCATCCTCAGCATTGCTGTGTTCTTGATTTCTTTATCATGTGCTCATATATGACCAATAAATTATGACTGTTACAGTCAGACAAAGTCCACTGAGGTCACTGTCTCATCTCCGTAGACTGTCCTTATACACCAAGGGAATAACATCATTGCAAGGAACAAACTCCCCACTCGGTTCACTTCAGGCTTTTTAGATTATTCTGGTTTTGCATATGCATGTGTGTGCATGTTCATGGCATGTGCACAGTTGCTGTGCATTGGCCTGTATGTGGAAGCTAGAGAACAACCTTGGGTGTCTTTTCTTATGGAGTTTACTTTTTACACATATTTTGAAACAGATTTTCAGTAGTCTGAAACTCATCAAGTAGTCTAGGTTGGCTGGCTCCAGGAGAAGACAGGCTCACACTGTCTGCCTCCTCAGTGCTCCAGTTACAACTTTTTCCCCACATGGGTTCTGGAAATCAAGCTCAGGTCCTCATAAATAGCATTGTGTGACTGAACTGTGTCCCCAGCTTGTCAGACTAGGCAATTTCTGCTAAGTACCTCCTTTGGGAGTAGTGAGAGTAGTGAGTTTGAATGAAATAGAAATTTGTGGGAAGATGATGCACTAGAAACTGCCTCTGTGTGTGAAGAAGAGTCAGAACAACAAGTAAACAAGAAACAAAACACAGTCTATGTCAAGGAGAGAGGAGGAGCTTCAGAAATACAAAGGAAGTAGTAGGACATCAAAAAATCGTGGTGGAAAAAATGGATGATTCATAGAAAAGAAACCAAGCTGAAGATGACTGCCCTGTTCCCCAGTTCCAGAGGAGGGGGAAGGCAAAGGCCCTCCAAAAAACCAAGAGGCTAGATGAAAGGGGTCAGGAGTCCCATGTCCAGGACACTCCCACAGCCTCCACAGACTTCAGAACCAGTGAGGGGTTGACTCCTGCAACCGTGGGGAGGAGTCCCGGTGTCTCTGGGAATGACTGAGAAGGTAGAAGCCAGTTGACATCTTTATAGAGAACCTTTCATTAGAAACTGAACTGCTCAGGGAGGCAGAAGATAGCGACCAATCACAAGACAAAGAGGCTGAACTTAATGTGCCACAACCCTAGGGCAAGAGACTACCTGAGAGTGGTGTAAAGTGGGAAGGTAGAGATAACGGGTCCAGACATATGAGGGACCGGTGCTTATTCTCAAGTGTCACATAGGTTTTCTGGGTGTCTCTTACTTGGTATTATTGTCATAATAGATAAAGATACATCAGAGCCAGCACTGTATTAAAGATTGCGTATTTCTATGGTTTGCATTCATCTCCTATGTCCCTTCTTTGTTTCTTTTTTGGACGCTTGCTAAAAAGGATGGAAGAACCATTATATGACTCTGTAAAAATTCTCATTGCAAGTGATGAGACATGTTCTTACTAATCCTTTACCTCTGCCCTCCCTCTCTGGGTACCATCCACTCACCTTATTGGGCAGAACTCTGTCAATCTCATCCTGAAGTTTCTTCTGCACATCAGGATGAGTGGCCAGTGTATACATAATGAAGGAAATGGATGTGCTGGTGGCTTCATAGCCAGCAAAAATGAAAACAACTGATTGGGCTGTGATCTCCATATCAGACAGGGCTAAAAGAAAAAGAACATTGTAGATAATGAAGATCAAAGCAGAACATCACAGTTAATCACAGTTAAGATGAGAAAAAATTCAAATAGTGCTCCCAGCTGTCTAGGGAAGAACAGAAAGGAGGTCCAGAGTCACTGGGACTGAATTCCCCTCTGGTGCCCACTTGTGGCCCATCTGTCCTTTTAGAACAGACTCACCACCACAAATGTGTAGCTCTACCTACTACAGCCTGTCCTATACACACTTATAAACAAAGAAATGCAGTGGTTAATTCTGACTGACAACTTGGCAGGATCTAGGATGGCCTAGGAGACAAGACTGAACATTACCATGTGGGTTATCTTCACTGATGTGAGCAGATAAATGTGGGTGGGACATCCCATGGCCTGGGGTCCCCAACTGAACAAAGAGAAGAGTGTGAGGTAAGCACCGGCATTCAGCTCCTCCTCTTCCTGACTGCTAACACAATGTAGCCAGCTGCTATCACCAGCTCTTCCCCGCCATGGTGGACTGAGCCACTAAATGTGGGTGAGAATAATCCTGTCCTGAAGGGGTTTTGTCAGACATTTGTCACAGTGACAGCATGAGTGACTAGGACAAACAGCTTACTATTAGTAAATGTGAGATCATTTTTCCTTCAAGGAAAAAACAAAAACAGGCAGGAAATGGTAGAGTGTTCATCCTGCAGATGCTTCGCTGTGGTGGAGGAGGGTATGCAGAGGTTTACAGAGACTCTTCCTGTATCCTTCCTCAAGCTCTGCTTTAACCAGAAAACACTCTAAAATTAAAGTTTCTTCTAGCACTCGAAATTAAAGAACAGACAATGCAAGGCCTCCTGAGACCAAAAGACGATGATGCATGACAGCTTGAATTGCAAAGTAACTAATCACAAGAAGAAAGTAACGGAATGCAAAAGATCACACTGCTAAAAAACGAGTGGATATATTTCTGATTGATATATTTAAAAAAGCAAATAAGTAAGGCTTGAAAGCTCTTCTTATGCTGGATAATAACTCGAAATGTGGAATAAATATGAGAGTTTAAAAGTCATTCTGTAGCTATAATAGTAATAATATGTAGCACAATTAATAAAAACCCAGAAACAGATATTGACATTTAACCTGAAGGTCAGAAAAGCAAAACAGCCAGCCACTGGCTTTTGCCTCTACCTCAGTCTGAAATGATGATCCTGCCTCCAGGAATCTCAGAATGGGACTGTGTCTGAGAGCTGTCTCCTCCTGTGTTATTCTCCTCTCTAGGGCTAGGATTAAAGGCATGCACCACTACTGCCAGGTTTCTATGGCAAACTAGTGTGGCTACTAAGATTAAAAGTGTGTGTCACCACTGCCTGGTCTGTAAGACGACTAGTGGATCTGTTTTACTGTCTGATCTTCAGGCAAGCTTTATTTATGAAAATATAATTTTTTGAGGGGGGGCTTTCTAGACAGGGTTTCTCTGTAGCTTTGGAGCCTGTCCTGGAACTTGCTCTGTAGACCAGGCTGGCCTCAAACTCACAGAGATCCACCTGTTTCTGCCTCCCGAGTGCTGAGATTAAAGGTGTGTGCCACCACTGCCTGGCTCAAAATACAAATTAAATATCACGACAATAATAGTTTTTGTCACAAAGCTAGCATGGACGATGTTATAAATGTCGTTTATAACATGGACGATGTTATAAAGGCCTGAAGGATGAAGAGGAGCAGGGTCCATGATTTCTCAGACACTATTTACACAGAGCAGACGAAGCTGTTGAACACAGTTCCACCACTCACTCCCAGGGACATCCCCACTGCTGGACAGTGTGCTTCCTGATTCCAGCTCAGATGCAAATTTCCAGGCAGAGATCCAGAATCAGTGGGGTTAGAAGGGACTGAGAATCAAACTCTGCTCTGACAGACGACCCTGCACCACTGAGGGCTTCTGGATACAAAATGCTTCTCTGTGGCTGCTCCAGTTTACTTCTAGAAAGATCCCGTGGACTCCATAGATACCATCCATGTTCGCATCTTTCTGAAATTTGGCAGAAATGCTTCCATCCTTGATCGCTCCCCCCATGTCCTGAAACCCTCTTTCCTCTGGGCTTTTTGATCCATGCGCCATGAACCATCATGGGTTACCTTTCTGGGACTCTTTGCCTTTGGAGTTCTGAGTGTTTATCATCAGGTGAAGAAAATCCGCTCGGGTCTGGAGACAGAGAAAAGTCAATGAAGGACATTTAGAGAAAGGGCACAGATGACATGTTCACAGCCTGACACATGATCCAACCATGAGCATTCTGACAGTAACCACATTTTACCTTCTGATTTGAATCAAGGTGGTTTTGCTTCATCTTTTTTACAAATTCGTAGAAAAAGTCCATTAGCCGGTTTGGAAAAATAGAGATACTTAGCATCTCATATAGTGGAGTAAGGAATGGAAACATAACTACAGAGAAAAAAGAGAAAGTGTAACGAAGATCTGCACTGAATTCTTATTTACTTATTAGAAATCAAATGCAACATTTGCTAAGCTCCAGGATCCACTTGTATTTTTATTCAACTCAAAGAAAGGTACCAAAGTGATGTTAACAATAGTTGTGTTTATAATACATCAAAACATAAACCACTCAAGATATGGGCTGGAGAAATACTCAAATGATGGAGAACATTTACTGCTTACACGAGACCCAAGTCAGTTCCCAGTACTTGACTCTGAATGGTTCATAACTGCAAGCCCACCTCCCTCTACTGGACTCTAGAGGCACAGCACTCACATGTATACATACACATATGCACACATAATTAAAAATAAAACAAAATTTAAAAAATACCTAATATAGGAAGAGATATTTGTTACATGCAGTGAACTAATATATTCACCCCACTTCCTATATTCTCTCTGCAGCTTCTCCAGGATCCCCCCCAGACATCCCTTTCACAACTTTAGGTTGTTGTTATTTAATAAAACTCTTAAGTCTTAAGTGTTGCTCTCATGGGCATGGGGCCATCCACTGAAGCACGGGAAACTGACCAGTGACCACTCCAACAAAGAAGAATGATTCTCTCTTCCCTGGCAGCTATCAACTGCCAGAAGTTCTCAGAAAGGGGTGGGACCTAGAGAACATCTCCCATATCTATGGGAGGAATATTGGTTGGCTTGATCTTATGGAACTGCTTTGAGTTTGAGCATGTGATAGCTCTTTGTGTCCTCTTCACTTTCCAGCCTTTACATTCTTTGTATCTCTTTAAGAAAGGAATAAATTTGATAACAGTGCATACAATTTAACTAAAAGTGGGCCAAAGATATAAGTCTAAGATTGGCATGGTGAGCACATGCCTTTAATCCCAGCATTCTGGAGGCAGAGGCAGGTGGATCTGTGAGACAAAGGCCAGCCTGTTCTATATAGCAAGTTCCAGGGCAACCAAGAACTTATATCCAAGGAAAAAAAAGTTTCAGGAATATGCTACCCAATTAAGATGAAACTAGAGGGAGGGGTTAAATGTTCATAACCTCAGCTCTGACCTTGTGACTTAGAGATTAAATCATTGTACATCATAAAAATTTTAAATGTGTATTTCAAAGGATCCTATTAAGAACATTAAAAGACATCTGAAAATAGAAAAAATATGTCAATTACATATCTGGAAAGTGACTGTTATTCATGATACACATGCCAATCTTACAGCTCAATTACAAGCATGTAAACCATTCAGCTATACAGGAGCAAAGGTTGAACAAATGTTTATCTAAGGACAAAAATGTCTCCCAAGTGGGAGAGTGTAATTACCACTTGGAGAAAGCACAGCCTAGCACTCATGGTGCTATACTATTGAATGTCCACTAGGGGGCTGGGATGACCATCCTGAAACAACAACAACCCAAAGTGTTGAATGGGGGTCCTCATAAGCTCCTAACCAGAACATAAAATGATTGGTCTAGGGGGCTGGAGAGATGGCTCAGTGGTTAAGAGCACTGCCTGCTCTTCCAAAGGTCCCGAGTTCAATTCCCAGCAACCACATGGTGGCTCACAACCATCTGTAAAGAGATCTGGTGCCCTCTTCTGGCCTGCAGGCACACATGCAGACAGAATACTGAAAATAATGTATCCATAATAAATAAATCTTTAAAAAAAAATGATTGGTCTATCAAAGAAAAAACTTCTCAGTTGCTCAAAAAGTCAAACACAGGATTCCTATGTCATTCGCAAATTTCACCCCAAGTGTCTACCAAGAAAACATGAAAAAAATGTTCAATCATAATCTCAGATGCCAATGTCCATAAGAGTTTATTTGCAATACCCTGAATCTGAAAATAACTGGAATGACCATCAGATGGTGCGGAATTTGATTTGTCTACAGAACATGGGAGTAGCAACAAATGGTTCTGTTGAATATATTATGTTAAATGAAAGAAGCTAGTCACTAAACTCTATGCATTCTATGACATATTTATAATGTATTTTTATGGCATACCAGGAATAGGCAGATCTACAGGAGCAGTGAACTTGTGTTTTTATTGCAGGGAGGAATGGAAAGGTGCAAGTTTTCTTGGATAAAATATTCCCAAGGTTTGACAATGGCGATGAATACACATTGCAAAAATTGAATTACACATTGTAAATGGGTACATTGTTTTTATATATGAATTGTATCTCAGTAAGGATGGATGATGTTATTTTGATGGAAGTATGTGAGGGAGGACTAGAAAAGAGAGGAAGTAGCTACTTACATATAGTGAGAAATAATGGGTTAAGGAAATCTAAACTTTTAAAGACCTTCTTGGCTTTCTGCACAAAGGGATCTTGTGGGTTGTTGAGGGAATCGACGTTCACTCCAAATGATGTGCCAGTGATCACATCCATGCTATAAGCTCCAAGGATGCTGAGTAGAGAGAGACATGGGAATCAACATCTGCATCTGAGGCAGCTGTTACTTCTGAGCTACTCAGGCAGGGAGCCACACAGTCAGAACCAAGGTTTCTATAACACTTGCACATGGGGTGTTTACCTGTTGTTGGCTTGCAGATATCCTTTTCCTAGAGTTGAAGGGACATTAATGTACTTACAGTCCCATCAACTGGACCACCACTTACTCTTTCATGGTGATGGGCTTCCCTTTCTCTTCTTCTCGTCTCAAGTTTTTCACCAACGTATCTCCATACTGTCCAATGATGGGGAACATCTAAGCACAAAGCAAAACATGTATAAATAAATGTAGAAACTCAGGGACCAGAAAGACAAGTCATCCCCAGTCACAAAGCAATGAGCGGGATGTTACAGTGATTTTTATTTACTTATGTGTTTATTTATTTGTTGGTTGTTTTTTTTTCTTTTTCTTTTTTTTTTCTCTATGTAGCTTTGGAGCCTGTCCTGGAACTCGCTCTGTAGACTAGGCTGACCTCACAGAGATCCTCCTACCACTGCCTCCCAAATGCTGGGATTAAAGGTGTGTGCCACCACACCTGGATTACAGTGAATTTTATAATGGGTCCTCTCGGCATGAAGTCAAAAGCCCATCTTAGAGGAATTGTGACTCAGAGGACTGACCCTTGGAAAGGGACTATGGGCTTCTTTCCTACCTGTTCCCAGATTCATTCTCTAAGAAAATTCCCTCTCCATCATCACCTCCTTGAGTTTTCCACTGGTGAAAGTTGGAGACAGCAGTGTTCGAAGTCTCTTCCATTCTTCATCTTCAGATATGGTGATGGCCTTTTTCATAAGTCCCGCTGGACCAAAAGTCTAGAGTTCAAAGTGAAAGACAGCTTACCTTGCTGAAATTATGTATATGTCCATAGCCACAGAAAATACATCAAACAAATATCACTTGCTTAACAAGTATCTACTGATCTTGTTAAGTGGCAGGCCCTGGCTTATTCTCAATACATCTTCATTGAAGACACCTCACAGCCTACATAAATATGGATGTCATCTATCTACAGGGCATGGCTTCATGTCTTTATTTCAAAGTCTCTTCTTAAATGCAAACCCCTCTTGCACAGGGAAAAAACTGTTCTTTGGTGCAGGCTGTGGCACATGGGGCTGCTCAAGTCCTGAGGCAGAGAGCATTGTGCCAAGGTACTGGCTTCTGCTTCCATTTTAAAAGCAATTGTTTACATAAAGGGACTTTTCTGCTTATGCAGCCCCTAGGGAAATCTATGCATCTTCCCAAGAGAAAACTTTGAAGGTAGAGGGTCTTGGCCTGAGAGTGAGAGAAGGAAGAGTCTTCGTTGTGCCCCAAGAACCTTGGTACCAATAGCATAGATTCTGAGAAACTGCTAGCTCAGCTCTGTATGTACGCTCTCACAAGTATATCCACTGCACTACACTGGAGCTTATATAGAGGGAATAAGAAAAAATGAGATCCCAGAACCTTCCTTCCTGGGGACATATTGAAAACAAGAGATCCCTACCATAAAACTGAAGAACAACAAAAATGCTATAATCAGTCAATCAAAGGCTTACTATGAGATATTTTGTAAAGCTTGCATTCTAGAAAACGTCAAATGATTCTACACGTAACTTCATTAATGTACAAATAATTTCAGACTGTCTAGCATATTGTACCTACATGAACACCCAACCTAGAAACAGATTGTAAAATACAAGATCCTACGCTCTACAGACCCTGAAAAATTTGTAACTTCCTGATTTGACACATGCTGCCCAAGGATGCTGCCTCAGGTACAACAGTCTGTTTTGTACTTTGCTTTTCCACCGTGGATGTTTAATGGGGAAGTGAAAAAGAGATCCAGGACTCTGATGTTTGCCAAGTGTTTTATGTAGTCACTATGCTATATGGATAAAGAATATCTCTGTTTGGGAGGGAGAGAGAGCAGCTGAGCCCTCAGAAGTGCATTCAGTTCTCCACTGATTCTATACCTTGTCTTTGGGACCTTAACACGGCTGAAGCTGAACTTCAACAGTTTTTCCCTGGGAATAGAAAAGCCCTACAGCATTCTTCAAGGCTGAGCAGAGTAGGAATGGATTCAAAGCCCCTTAGGATCAAGGGCTGGAAAGATGTTAAGTGGTTAAGAGCACTTGTTGCTCTTGCAGAAGACCCTTGTTTGGTTTCCAGCACTCACATGCAGTTTATAGCCACCCATAATCCCATGATATCTGACACCCACCTCTGACCTTTATGCATGCATGTGGTTTACATATGTACATGCAGTCAAAACAACCATACACATAAAATAAGAAAAAAATTTACATGGTCTTGGGATACTGTTATCTTAGGCTAGTTCTGCATTATGTTTACCAACAGCATAGACAAGTGAAAAGAATAGAGGCTGAGCTGTTGTTTTTTTAGTTATAACTATTAGAAAAAATTAAGAATTGGGAATGATGTCAGGCATAGTGGCACACACCTTTAGTCTCAGAAGTGGGGAGGCAGAGGCAGGTGGATCTTTGTGAGTTCAAGAACAGCCTGGTCTATGGAGTGAGGTCTGAGCTAACCAGGCAATAGAAGAAGACCCACTCTCAAAACAAACAAACAAACAAGCAAGCAAATAAATAAGAAAAAAAATGAATTGATGATGGAGAGATGACTCATCACTTAAGAGTGCTTGCTGCTTTTGCAGAGGACACAAGTATGGTTCCCAGTACCCAAGTCGTCAGCTCAAAGCCACCTGTAACTCCAGCTCCAGGAGTTCTGACACCTGTTGTAGCATGATTAATAAAAAACCAGAGACATTCAACCTGAAGGCCAGAAAAGCAAAACAGCCAGCCACTGGCTCTTATCTCTACCTCGGTCTAAAATGGTGATCCTGCCTCCAGGAATCTCAGAATGAGACTGTGTGGGAGCTGTCTCCTCCCGTTTTATATTTCTCTCTTGGGCTGGGATTAAAGGCATGCACCACGACCACCCAGTTTCTATGGCGAGCTAGTGTGGCTACTGGGATTAAAGGTGTGTGTCACCACTGCTTGGTCTGTAAGACTGACCAATGGGGCTGTTTTACTCTCTGATCTTCAGGTAAGCTTTATTTATTTACTTATTTACTTATTTATTTATTTATTCCTTTCCTTTTTTATTGATTTTTATTGAGCTCTACATTTTTCTCTGCTCCCCTCCCTGACTCTCCTTTACCCCCTTCAGCCTTCCCATGTAGATTAGATCTATGTAAGTTTCTCTTAGTGTTCTTGTTGTTGTCTAAGTTCTCTGGAATTGTGGGCTGTAGGCTGGTTTTCTTTGCTTTATGTTTAAAAACCACCTATGAGTGAGTACATGTGATAATTGTCTTTCTGTGTCTGGGTTACCTCACTCAAAATAATGTTTTTTAACTCCATCCACTTTCCTGCAAAATTCAAGATGTTATTTTTTTCTGCTGTGTAGCACTCCATTGTGCAAATGTACCACATTTTTCTTATTTATTCTCCAGTCACAGGGCATTTATATTGTTTCCAGGTTATGGCTATAATAAACAAAGCTGCTATGAACATAGCTGAGTACCTGTCCTTGTGACATGATTGAGCATCCTTTGGATATATACCCAAAAGTGGTATTACTGAGTCTTAAAGAAAGTTGTTTCCTAATTTTCTGAGAAATTGCCACACTGATATCCAAAGGGGCTGTACCAGCTTGCATTCCCACCAGCAATGCAGAAGTGTTCCGTTTACCCCACAACCTCTCCAGCATGTACACAAAAGCCTCAGCCAGCTTCACGCTTGATGGTGAAAGCCTGAATGCTTGACCCTCCAGCCAGGAGCAATCCAGAAGTCTCCTCTTACCACGGTTACTCAGTACTATCCTAGAAATGCCAACTAGTGCAATCATGTAAGAAAAGCCGGTGGAAGACGCACAGATTGCAAAGCCATGAGTGGAAGTGTCCTGATTTTCAGGTACCACCATTGCCCATGCAGAGCACACCAAGCAGCACGCGGAATAAATGTATGGAAGGAAGAAGTGAGTTTGGGAAAGTCGTAGGGTGCAATGACAACTCAGAATTTAATGCATTTGCATATAATCACGATGATAAGTGGAGAAATATTGAGAAAGTGATGTTATAGCAATAACTAGAAATTAAATACTTAAAGCATAAACGTAACAAAATATGTTCTGAGTCTTTAACCTGAAATTGTTTATGTGGCAAGCAAAGGCAAACTAAAAATCAGAGCGACCTATGGTAGCCATGGATTAGAAGACATAGAACAGTAAAAATACTTCCCCTTGCTGGGTGACGGTGGCACACATCTTTAATCCCAGCACTTGGGAGGCAGAGGCAGGAGGATCTCTGTGAGTTCAAGGCCAGCCTGGTCTACAAGAGCTAGTTCCAGGACAGACTCCAAAGCTACAGAGAAACCTTGTCTCGAAAAACCAGAAAAAAAATTCCCCTATACTTATTTCAAAAATCACACTGAGCTTTTAAATTGAGACAAAAATATTCATAATTAAGATAGAAAAGCAAAGGTCTGAGAACCAACCACACAATTCCAAAAAAAAAAAAAGAGGAGGAATTAATTCTCATGATGTCACTGTGGTTAATTGATTGAAGAAAATAGATGAGAAAGAATCCCACACAAGTAATAGGACTGATAAGCTTTGGAGGAAACGGCCTCTCCCAAAATAGTATTGGAACAATTGAACATGCATGGTATAACAGGAATCTTTTCCTGACCTTTGTATCTCATACCAGAAAAATTGCAAATAGACCATAGATGTAAATGTAAAATATGAAATTATTAGTTACCATTAAAAAATAAGAAAGCTAAGCAAAATATTCTCAAACCTGACCCTGAAAGCATCCATAAAAATGCATCAGACATTGCCAAGAAGAAAAGACGGGATTCTGACAGTGACTACCACACGTTTACAAGAGGAAGTTCCACAGTGAAGGGACAGTCCTGAGTCTTCACTGTGTAGCCTCAACACTAAACAGGATGTGTAATAATGTCCAGCACACTACTCATACACACACTCGGATGAGGGGATGCCACTCAGAGGAAAGGTGAGCAAACTCCTAGTGATATCAATACTGACTTTATCTTGTATACTGGCAGGAATATATTATATTTACACTCATACAAGACATTATCATTTACAAAATCCAAGACCTTTTCTGAGCACAGTGACGGCTCTTTCTCATGATTATGTAATTCTTTCCAGATTAAAATTGAATGATTATGACGAAAGATTTAAGAAAAAAATAAATAAAATAAAATTGAATGAAAGTAAGGCATTACTTTCTAAAAAGGACACCTACCCGACGGTTTGTGAAGACGAAGTAGCATTCTTTCACCAGCACTATTTTGATGATTTCTGGATCCGTGATAGCCAGCACAGGCTGTCGGCCATCATAAAACCTGAGGTGGGAAAACAGGTGGACTCAACCTCAGAAGCCAGATTTTGCACCTGGATACACACCTGGGACTCTAGACTCCACCCCTGAGGCTGCACTGGCCACACCCCCGTTATATGTAGCACAGCAACATGTGCCCCAACTTCAAGTTCTAACTGTAGAAGCCACTGGAGTCACGTGAAATGAAGCGTAGTGTGGCTAAAGCAGGGAAGAGACACTTAGGACGAAATGGCCCTTCAAAGACGTCCTAGTTAAGAGTGAACTCTGGAACATAGGTTAAGGCTTGGCAAATGTACATGGTTATTGCCGATACCATTCTTTGGTGTCTAAATTTGTCAGTATCTGGGTTGGAGGTGTGGCTCAGTGGTAGAGCCCTTGTCTATCAAGTGTGTGGCATTGGGTTTGACCCCCAGAGAGCTCTTCTTCAAAGGCAGCAGAATTGGATAGACAGAAAATACCCATGTACACTTCCAGTAAATTTAATTTTTTTATGATAAAGATGTTTTTAAAGTGGATATAAATGAGTTCCTAATTTGCTTACTTACGTCTCCCAGTCTGTCTCTCAAAAGCATACATTACTTTTAAGTTAATATAAAGGAGTTCTGGGTTTAACTAAAAGTGAGTTGGTATAGATATGAACTTGCATTTCTGAGCCCATATCAGAAGGTTCTGAGCATTAGGTGCAAAGACGTTGAGTCTTGGAGCCCTTGGTTCATCAGTCTGGAGGATGTCCTAGTAGGCAACAGCCCTAGTGGAATTCATGCTGTTCGAATTAACTGTGACGTATTAGACCCTGGCGGGACAACCTCCAAAGACTTTGTCCTCCTGCAGTGAGTGCTTCATTCTACAAGCCCACCCAATGGAAGTTTTCAGACTACTCACCCCCATATTTTCCCATACTTTTTATAGCAGTCTATATCAAATTTCCACAAACCCTGGGGAGAGAAATAAAGTTAAATCCATTATTAGCCTGTATACAATGGATCTTTCTCTAACTGGGGTACAAATGACTCAATTTCTGTGAAATCAGGCTTCCTGACCCTCACTGGTGATTAGAGGCAAGTTCTTAGTAGAGACACCTGAAGAGAATAGGGGAAGCTAGAAGTGGTGTCTGGAATGGAGAGTTTAATGGTTTTGGATTTTCTCAGTGTTAGATCTATTGAAAGAATTGCCCTTACTTACGGATACCAAGCAGCTTCTCATCTGAGGGTGTGTGTGTATGTGTGTGAGCTGTCTTTGAAATCCTAGACCACTCTAAACTGTTCCTCAAGATTCCAAAGTAAGGGAATGTGTATAAGCCTCCCAGGGTATAGACTGTTCTGTCTCCTCGTTCAGGGTTACCCCACTTGTTTTATTAGTATGAAAGTGACAGAGTGAAGCCAGACTTAGTGGCACACACCTGTAATCCTAGCCCTCAGGAAAAAGCAAGAAGTTGGGCAAGTTGAGGCCAGGATGGGTTACATGTTGAGACCTCATCTCAACATTTAGAGGAGCAGAAACAAGAGAGCCACAAATGGTCAAGGTGCAGAGAATAAGAAACTGCACTAAATGGGCCATCTCATCTGTATAACAATTCCCCTTCCCCAGGCACAGGGATCATCATGGTAAAAGAAGGGCAGAAAGGCTGCATGAGCCAGAGAGACAGAAAATGCTGTAACCAAGTGTTTCCATGGACACAACAGGGCAGTTGCACATAGGAACTCAGTGATTGTGAAAGCATGCACAGGACCTGAGCAAGAACAAGCCAGACAAACCACTAGCGTGGAAAGGAGAGAAGGGCATGAAGTCCCACCCCTATCTGAGGAGCGGTTGGCAATTGGCCACTGCTGGGAGGGGAATAGTTAGTTTTTTTTGTGGGTGTGGCTCCTGATAGACCAACCACGATCCTGTGTGTGACCACACAACTTCTAGTATATAGGCAGCATAGATTGGACTTCATGGGTTACAAAAAGCATATACAAACTGGATGGGCAGGGAAGGAGGGGTGGTCCAAGGGGATCTTGGGGTGGGGAGTGAATCTGATCAGAATGCATTGCATGAAATTCTCAGAGAACTAAGGAAAATTGAGAAAACAAAAAGGAAAATCAAAAAATAAAGAAGTGATAGAAAGAAAAGAGAGAAAGTGAGAGGGTGAGTGGTTATGATGGGAAAATCATGACAGAATGCGGGAGTCAATGAGAGGCTCCCTTTCTACAGCAGGACAGAGCAAAGGGAACACAAGCTCTGAGTTTTTGATGCAAAGGTGAGAAAAGGAAATGTTCTTCCTGTTGTTAAAGCCGTGACTTAATGCAAAAGAAGGTTCAGGAAGGGAAATGTGCTGGGATGATTATGAAAACTGTTCCCCTTTTGAGGGTTTCCTAGGCAGCCACGAGGCAATGGTGGTCTCATCTAGACCTCAGGTCTGCAGTAGGCATCTAACTCTGAAACTTGAACTCTGACAGGCAACTGGAGTCTTTGGGGAAGGAAATTCTAGCAGAGAGCAGCCCGCTTGAGGCTCTGCTGACGGCCTTCAATGCCTGAGTTCGTTATCTGCTGGTCAGGCTCCAGGCTCTACTCACCAAGCAAGTCACAATGAATCAGGCAACGTTAATGACCCGTGTGGCATTTGTGGTGCATTTTCAAGAGCTCTAGAGATTTGGTAAAACCATCCTTCCTATAAAGGACTTTACCTCCACTTAGAAATGCAAAAATTCATTTGCCCTGTGTATCTGAGGGCGAGAAACAAGCACCACCTTGTCTCAGTCACAGTCCAGCCGCATTCTGCTCACACTGGCCCTCAGCGTGCTGCCTTGGAGGAAAAGAACCAACACAGAACATCATTATTCTGTCGAACTCTCAAAGATGCCCTGGGTACTAAAGCCTGCATGGAGCCATTGAAGTAAATGCAGGGAACATAGGAGTCCCTGAGAGGTTTCTGGAAAGGGGGAGTTCCCTATAGTCAATATACAGGCAACCTGCCCCACGGATGCTGCAGAGCTGGCCAGCAGGAAGAAAACAAATGCTGCTCCAGAGTCGGGTGTGAAGTCTCCTCTAGAGCACACAGGCTGGCGCAGCGCTACCGTGACCAGGCACGGTTTCCCATGAGTGCTGGTTAAGGACACCTGCGCCTTCCTGGAGGCTCTCCTGAGGAAAGCCCCAGACCTCTGCTGCTCCTTACAACCTGAGGGTGAAGTCCTGGATGCTGGCCTTTAATGTGTCTGCAGCCACTGTTTTCTAACAAAAGCAACCTTCAAAGGGATGTCAACAAGTCCTAAAGGGAAGCCCAAGCACACTCCTGGTAGGACACAGTTTTCAGTGGTCTAACACCCCTAAACGTCCTCCCGAGGACTGGCCTTTGCATCTGTGGAAGTGACCCATAAGCGGATGCATCCGAAGTTGCATCCATAAGAAGAAGAATAAGAGCTCAAACAGTACTCACATTTCGGTAGCCCAAAACGGTGCCCAGAAAAGGCAGAGGTTTGGGTCCAGGAATGCCAAGCTTCTTAAAAACCCCATGAGAATAGGTCCCATATCTGTAAAGTAAAAGAAAACGCCAGGAACATTTTAGCGTGGTCCAACCAGCAACTGAGACCCTCCCTCGGGATTCGTGCTACCTGTCCCCTGCTGTAAAAAAACGGCACTGAGTGGGAAATGGTTCTGGATACTGCAAGGCAAAACGAACTTGAGTTATCCAGAGGGAAGGGTGTTTCAGGTGAGGGCTCCGGTAGGATGTATAATAGGAATTTGTGAAAAGCACATTGGGGAATGAGGAAAAACAACAGGCATATGTGTGCACAGGGGACACACCTACACATCTCACTCCATGCTAAGAAAAGCCAGGAGGCAAGGATAGTGAGAAAAAGTTTAAGCACCTTCCGTGATCTTGCCACTCCTAAAACTCAGAAGGGTTATGGTGGCCAATTATGTGTGAGTTCTCTGATTTGATGTTGATTAGCCTAGGTGCAGACTGAGAGTCGGCTACATCTTCCCAGGAGCAAGTCTTGTCAAAACCCTCTGTGTGTGGGAGGACTGGGAGCTCAAAGAATCGGCAATAATGTCAGTAGCAAATGCACTACCCAAGTGTTGATTTCAACTTCTCCTCCATGTTCTCTTTGGGTATTCCAACAGGGAAAGGAAAGTGGGGCCTGGATATCGTGCCAACTCCAGTTACAGATAGGGAGAAGCTTGGAAAGCTACTCACATGTAGATGAGCACCAGACTGGTAGCCAGCAGCACCCAGGTTTCTATGGAAAGGTTGGGGATCAGCTCCATCTCAGCTTTCCTTCAGCAGTTCTGGCTCCAAGTTTCCCTCCCAGTCTCACAGCGCTTCCCTGCTGTGCCCAGCTGAGATCCATGAGGCCAGTCTGCGGTATTTATGTGCTAGGAAAGAAGGAGGTGTCAGCGAGGCAGCCAGTAGAAAGTCCTCCCTTGCACTGCCTGAACTCAGAGAACTGAGATGGCCTTTTCAGTGACAGCTGTTAAAAGTTCATGTAGAATCCTGCTCTGACCTCTTTTGAGTGCATATTCGAGGTGAATGTTCTTTTAGAAACTCAAATAGATCCAACGGCATTCCATTTCTTCTAATTTGCAGATATCTTTCATGCCCATTCTCTTTCCAAAACTCGTTTAAACATACAGATAAATCACATCTACATCTTTACCAGTGCAAGGCTATCTTTTCTAGTTGATGTGTGTGTGTGTGTGTGTGTGTGTGTGTGTGTGTATACAATGTATGCAGAAGTCGACACTGGGTGTTGCCCTCTGTTACTTTCCACTTTATTTTTCAAGACAGGATCTACTACTGAACCCAGAGCTTGTCACTTCAGCTAGACTGGCTAGGAAGTAAGGCCCTAGGAACCACTTTTTTCTAACACATACCCTTCCTCCCATTTCTAAGGTTGTAGACATTTGCCACCAGCCCAGTGAATACATGGGTACTAGAAATTTTAACTTGGGTCCCTTTCCCAGCAATCTTTCAGAGTCTTTTCCATAGTCCCCAAATTCCTTTTTCTATAAGGTTCCTCTATGCTGTTTAGTACTAGAAATTATTCATCCAAACACAACTCAGAAAAAAATTGAGCCTGGTAGATTGATTTCTCACACATCACATCCAATAAGGAGACTTACCTTGTGTGATAGCTAGTTATGTCAACTTGACACATGTAGTAGGAAACCACTTGTTTGTTTTCCCAGCTTCCCAGACTCCCAAAATAATCACACAGAAACTATATTATTTAAATCACTGCTTGGCCAATCACTTCAGTGTATTGCTAGCTAGCTTTTACATCTAATATTAACTCATTTCCAGTATTTTGTATTTTACCGTGAGACTCATAGCCTACTGAAAAGGTTCCAACATATCTGGTCCAACATATCATGGTGGCAGCTCCATGGCTTCTCCTCTACTCTGCCTTCTTTGTCCCAGCATTCAGTTTAGTTTTCCATGACTATCTCTGTTCTGCCCTGCTATAGGTCCAAAGAATTTTCTTTATTAATCAATGGTATTTGTAGCATACAGAAGGGAATCCCATATCATCCCCCCTTTTCTGTTTAAATAAAAAGGAAGTTTTTAACTTTAACATAGTAAAATTACATATGCAAAACAGTTATCAAGCAAGGATTACGGTTACAATACTTATATCTACTCTTTCTTCCATCATAACTAAGGAAAACTATAACTATATAATTTTTAACTCCAAAGACTCCAGAAGGATATATTACTTAAGTAAACAGGAAGTGCATTGTAAGCAACTTCTAAAACTCTAGAATTGACAGAGACATCTCATTACCTGGACAGTCACCGAAAGTTCTTTATTGTTGGGGCATCCATCTTCAGCTTACATGCCCATAGTGTCCAGCAGACTTTTTCATGAGCAAGAAGTTTCAAAGACTGTTCCACCTATACTGACAGTTTGTCAGTCACATTTTTCTGTGTCCTGCAGAATGTCTGGCAGTCTCTTTCATAAAACAGGAACCCTGAAGAACAGTCTCACCCTTAGTCAAGTTCAGCGTTATTTCTCTGTGGGTCCTTCATGTCCAGTTCATACAGCAAAACATCAAGCAGTCCATGCAAGAACAGTTTCTTGCCAAAATGACTAACAAACTCCATAAGGAGCCTCTTTGATGCCCATCATCCTCTTGAGGTAGATTGGTGCTGCCAGGAGCAGATGTATCTTATGTCATGAAAAGTCCTAATTTCTTAAAACATTTTAAATGCCATATTCTGTTAGTCTTTGAAAGGTTTGAAAAATCCCTATCTAACTGTACATCTAAAAAAAAAATCTAACTAACATGACCACAAGCTTGACTATTATAGATGACTCACTATTAATCTATATTTCTTAATTATACATTACATTTTTAAATGAACTGCACAAACACAATACCTTAATCAAGAGCAGAAATATATATAACAAAATTGACCTTAAATTTGTAACAATAAATCAAGATCCATGCCAATACAAATCTCTATAACATATCCCCCTTTAAATGTAAACACACATTTATAAACAGTATTTGGGAATTTGGGGCATAGTTCTCTCCAAACTGCTTCCTGTTTTTTGTTGGGCAAAGTATTTTCTTTTTGGGGGTGTTTATGGAGACCTTTAGGAGATCTTGGTCCATAAAATCACATTAGTCTGGAAGGATTCCACAGGTTCTCATCCTCTGTGGAAACAAAAGAACTTCTTTTCCAAAGCAACATATCCTTAGACTCAAATTTTGAAGTCAAGAAACTTTTAAAATATATATGTTGGTTTAGCTTATCAGTCCCCAGAATCAAATGTCTCTCTGCAGTCAAAAAATTCAAAGACAACACAATAATATACATAATCCAGACTCTCTGTGTGTGTTCCATCTTTACATGGCTTATTTTTCTTACTCTATTACTTTTTCTACAAGTTTAATATTTATTTTATTATCTTTACTCCTTTAATCTATGACTGTCTGTACTCAAAAATTACATTTACTGTCTCTTTATTCTTTTCTTCTCTCTCCCAAATCTATGTACAATTTTTAAAAATACATTGTGTCTCATTTAGAGGTTTTTTTTTATTTCTGAATCTGTCCTTATTGTATATCTGTAATTCTTTTCTTTTTTTTTCCAGGAGCATTTCTTTCTTTCTTTCTTTCTTTCTTTCTTTCTTTCTTTCTTTTTTTTTTAATGTACACAATACTCTGTCTGCGTGTATGCCTGCAGGCCAGAAGAGGGCACCAGACGTCATTACAGATGGTTGTGAGCCACCATTTAGATGCTGGGAATTGAACTCAGGACCTTTGGAAGAGCAGGCAATGCTCTTAACTGCTGAGCCATCTCTCCAGCCCCTCCAGGAGCACTTCTTAAAATGCTAAGGCTGCTTTGCCTTTTGTCTCCACCCATTCCAACATGGCGAGGTGGAGGTCTGTTTAGTGTGAACCATGGTCACATGTGCCCCATTTTCAAGCACACAGTGGGTCTGTCACCATTAGGCAAGTTGTGGTACTCTGCTCACAAACCCCATTTAAGTGCTAGACCTCCTGAAAGAGTCAGAGTTCACGCTGGCAGCATGGCCCAGAAAGCTGCCATTTTAAAACCGCACAGCTTTTTTCCTGCTACCACTGAATCAGGAAAACTTCTCTTAAGGGAGCTGCAGCACTCCACCAGCCGGAAAGAAAAATGCGGCTAAACTTTGTATTTCTGTGCCTAGAGCTCCCTTCCAAGCTTTCTCAAGTTTTACATGGATATACTAGACCACTATATAATGGAGAGCCAATTTGTAGTAGGAGGCTGTTTGTTCATTTCTTGGCTACCCAGACTCTAGAAATAACCACACAGAAACTGTATTAATTAAATCACTGCTTGGCCCATTAGCTCTGGCTTCTTATTGGCTAACTCTTATATCTTAATTTAACCCATTTCTATTAATCTGTGTATCACCAAGTGACTGTGGCTTACCAGGTAAAGTTTCATCTGACTCCCTCAGGGCTACCTAGCTTCTCTTTCACTCTGCTTCCTTCTTTCTCCTAGCATTCAGTTTAGTTTTCCTGCCTAGGTCTGCTCTACCCTATCACAGGCCCAAAACAACTTATTAACCAATGGTATTCACAGCATACAGAGAGAATCCCACATAAGACAGGAGCTAGAATCATTGTAGAGAAGGGAGTCTCAACTGAGAAAATGGCTCCATGAAATCAGGCTGAAGGTAAACCTGTTGGGCATTTTCTTAATTAGTGATTGATGGAGGAGGGTCCAGACGGTTATGAATAGGACTACACCTGGGCAAGGGGTCCTGGATTCTATAAAAAAGCAAGCTGAGCAAGCCATGGGGAATAAGCCAGTAAAAAGCACCCCCCTATAGCTTCTGCATTAGCTCCCTCTTCCAGGTTCCTGCCCTGTTTGAGTTCCTATCCTGACTTCCTTTGATGGTGAACTGTAATATGAAAATGTAAACAAAATAAACCCTCTCCTCCCCAAGTTGCTTTGGTTATGGTGTTTCATCACAGCATAGTAACCCTGACTAAGACAGCCTGCTTTGGAGTTCTTTGTTCCTTCTTGCAAAACTGATCAATTTCCTCTCTAAACTCTACTACTGTTGGGAGAATCTGGGGTGCTGTGCAACCGCTATAGTGACAACTGCCTTACTATTGGTGGCTGAGGGGCTTGGCATCCTTCTGGCGCGAATGCTGCTGCTTGCTTCTTTTGTACCCATTGTCCTTCGATACAGAGTTTTTTCAGCTGAATGGGTACATATCTTGGCCAATGATTTGTCTAGCTTGCAGTCTATGACAGGGCAATTTGAGAGGTTGCTAAATATGGCCTAGAGATCCATCAGCTTCTATGCCATCCATCCGTCTGTGGTCTTTCCTGTAGGGACCACTTGTCAACAGAATCCTGGTCAATCATCCTGAGCGTATACTGAGGGTGGCTGTGACAGAGGCACTTCATCTTGCCTTAGCTATTTAGGAAGTTTAACATGGTCAGGCTAGATACATAGGTCCCGGTCAGCTAACTGACCAGGATATCTACTAGATACAAAACATCCAGCAAGGGCCTACCGATATAATATTGACTATTACCTAAACAATTCCTTGACAGTCTCACAATTTGGTAAGGAAAATACGCATGAAAATTCCCAATAATAAAGATGTGAAGGACAATGGAACACAAAAGACAACGAAGAGGCCAGATTCATCATTTCTTCAAGACCCCGTCCTGCAGCAACTGGCTCATGACTGCAACAACAGCCTTAATCTACTCATGAAAACAGACCCAACACAGCCTTATCCCTCCTGAGGGCTCAGTCTCTTTGTCAGGATGCATTTAGACTAAGTTTCGAATACAAAAACTTGAGGGTATGCATTTAAATCAGAGAAA